TCATGTCAGTTTTTGTTAGTGTGTTTGTCTGAGCCGTGCCTTTCCTTTAGATAATATAGTCCGTCAAGGACTTGGCATTTTAAACTTATCATGAAAGAAAAAAAACAATTTAATGGACTTTTATTTACATTTACCTACTGCAAATTATGAACACAAACAATGTGCCATAACTTATTTTACCTGTATTTTTTTTAAATGTTACTGACTGATTGGTGTAACTTTTTAGGAACCCATAATATCAAAACATGCCAACATGGATTATTATCTTGCTTTGTTATTGATCAATGCCTTAGGTAGGGTTGTAATCCATCAATTAATTACTGTTCTTTCCACTTCAGTTCTCACCCAAAAACTGACACATTGAGGGCCAAGCTTGCGCAGTTCTCAGATTCGTGGCAAGATAAACATTAAATCATCGCAGCCTCTCTGATAAATAATAACATCTCATCACTGAAACATACAAAAATAACTCATTTGATGCTTAACTAGAAAGGTCAGGGTGCTGCATTCTTAGATAGCAGAACTGCCTCTGCACTTCTCCAGCAGTTTTAGGTTCAGAACATTGTACAAAGTGCAGGATGTAGATGTTAGATCAGTTGCCCTCTTGTTCCGAGAATAGTACACCTACAGCTTTCTGCTGCCGGGAGTCAAAACAACCTCTCAGTCGTCGGTCAGAAGGCAGTACTCTGGGCCAACATCTTCCCTCAGATTACTTTATTGAAAGTTTACAGCAGGATTTTTGTTTTGATGTGTTAGCGGATTAATTAATTACCGTCCCATTGTGTAATGAATTGCTCACTCATAGCCTAAACACCTGCTAAAGCCTGATGAATTATTCTTCAAAAACCCTAAGTAGCCCAACACAAAACAAATTCAAAAGGAAACGGTAGATTAAGGCCTTTTAAAAATTAAATTCCACACATATTGGCATTTATTATTCAGGTACGTTTAATATGTACGATAAGCAACCATAATGTTTTTTTTTTTTCCTTTTTCCTAAGTGATATTTTTAATGATCATACATTTCCAAAGGGTACTCGAGCTCATCCAACTGACAGAGAAATGTTTAACTGGATTCCTAATGTCAGCTGCTGACATTCAGAATTGAAACTTTTCTGAAAGGTTACAGTACTCAAAAGTTAACATGGGAAAGTGGCTAGTTTGTGTACAAGGTAAAAGATCATTGAGTTGAGTTGATACTTTGCATGGAGACACTCAGTTGGTGCTGTAGGTCAAGTTGCGGGGCTAAGATGAGCATGTGGACAGGTATTGGGGGAAGAGGATGTAGAAGCTACAGTCTGAGCCACTGAAAACGGACTAATTCCACCTCCCACAAATCCTCCAGCACTTGATTGCCTGGTTGGGCAGTGTTTAAAGCAATCCTCCCTGCCCTCCTCTTTGCTCTGGCATTAGACGATTGCTCAGTAGAGAGCGACTGGCAAGCAATGGCCCTCTCAGCTGGATGACATACTGTGTTTTTTCCCCCTGAAGCAAGACGAAATAGAGCCGTGGCAGACTCCAGAAGGATATCGGCACAGCCCTGACTGACGATCTTTATCCCAAGAAAAGGATGTGTTCTGATTCTTTGCCCTGCACCTGTGAAAGAATTGAATTATCATTTTTAACTGCACATTTATTGGAAGGGGCTTTTCACAATGGTCAACAATAAGTGAATTGATTGGTGAACATCTTTTTAGATTACTTGTGTATGTGGGCTCATAATTGATTGGTTGTTATTTTTATATAATAACTAAGTACCTTCCAAACGTTCCGCCCGAGCTGAGTCTTGGAAAAGCGAAGTTATTGTTGCTAATATTTTGCATTGTTGTGGCCTTCAGTGCTGTCTGATAGCAATTACTGGGACAAGGCTGGCTCGGATTAGCTTTTGACCTGTATTACGTTGCACCTCCGTCAATGAAGTTACATGGCATTTACAGCTCAAAATTACCAGACTGAACTTTAATATTGCTCACAAATAACCTATTCTGTTTGGCATGCATGAAATGAAAATGGTTCTAGGCAGCTTGTGTGCCGGCGTACCTCGTGTTCACTCTCGTCAATATGGTACAAGGGGAGTTTTGTCAAAACAAGGTATAAATTTAGAGCAATAACTCAGCAAATGCTGAGGCAATAAATCGGTTTTGATTTGACCAACTTAGTGTTTAGTATCACAAAAATGTTTGGGTCTCTGTCAAAGTTCAGATTGCTGCCAATTGAGCAGTAATAGGGAGGCGTTGTGAGGTGTGATACAGGTGATCAACACTTTGATTACTCTTTTTTTAACCTTATTCTAGGTTCTTACCTGCAGTGCTCCTAAGAATACAAATCATGTGTCCTACATATAGTATGCATAGCTTTCCTTACGATCACACACTGATTATCATATCTGGGGCAGTTGGGGTGGGGGGATTCATTCTCTTGAACTGTGGAGGGTTTGGCCGATGAACCACTAAGATCATCCATACGACTCTACCTGAAAGATAGGTGTGACCTCAGAACCAAAGGCAATACATTGTCTTGCATTTATTATTACTGTGTGACTTTGACTCTATTTAGTAAATCAAATTCGTTTAACAAATCGAATCTCTAGGACAGACTGTCCGGACGGACAATTGTAAGTGATCAAAGAGGATCTTGAATGGCGTGTTTTTTTGGTTTCCCTGTAGTTCTGCTGGTAAATAAGCCCTTTTTGCCCATCAACCCTCTCTTTGCTTTCACTCACGTTTTATTGTTGAAAGCCAAGCTGCTTCTTCTTTGTATTTCTGGATTAGTCTTTATCTGTGGTTTATTTTGCTTGAATAAAAGGCTCTTTAAAATCGGCAAAGAACAGAGCGTGAAAGGTCGTAGCATCTGGCCTGAGACATTTCTGCAAAGATCTGCTTGGACTAATAATAAAGCATGTTTTTTGTTGGCACTATGATCAAGTTTTGGGGAAGAAAGTTTCTCGTTTTCCAGTATCTAGGGTCTGTTTGATTCAAAGATGCGTTGGATTTCTAAACATTGCAGTAGGGTGTAATTGCAATCTATATTTCTGCTGTTGGCAGATGACCATGTGTGTGCATGCTGCTCATCCTTATCATGTTTTCAGAGCAGTTAATATCCCACTCAGTTTGTCCCAGTTACAGAAAAACAGTCTAATTGTAGTTTGTTAACCAATATTTTTGTTTTCAGTCACATGCAACACTTTGTCAAAACATTACTTTATAGCTTGACAATATATGCATTTGCAAACAGGCTAAAACTGCACAGCGGGCACAGAAGCACTAAAAAAAAGACACAAAAATCTGAAACATTAATATCACAAAAAGTGAGTTTTATGATTTGACAGAAGCTCAAAATCCAGGGCCTTCGATTTTTCTGGAACTGACATATAGAGGATTATCTACAGGCTCTTGATGAGATTATAATTCAACTCGCTCGTAAGAGCTCTCATTTCAAATTACTCACTCTTATTTCGTTTCGTTTTTGGTATTTGGGGACTTAAACCTAAATATCAGAGACGGATGAGTATAACTCATAACTCTTGAAGATCAAGCACACATCTAAATGTCACATTCGGAGAGCCTGAAGCAAGCTGTGATTATTTTCCTCGCATACACTCGCATGGACACACACACAAGAAGAGCCTGTTTCAACAAGCAAAAGGCAAATTGTTATTATCAAGATGAAGCATGCTGATAATGGGTTCACCTTCTCTATTGACCTAACAGGGCAAATCAAAAGCAGGGGCAGCAACAGACTGATAAATCAATATAAAGCACTTATCCTGATTGGGCACTACACAGGTACAACAGCGTTAAAGCTGGTAAGGGGGTTAGCTCACTTTTATTCCTTACCTTTCTTTTTTCTTTTCAAACAACTTAAGAGCTGCAGAAGAAAATACGGGCTGTTCTCTCTCAAATATATATTCAGTCCAAAGTCTAAATCATGAAAAGAAAACCAGGTGATTTTTTTTTGATGCCATAATTTGAATTGATAGGAATTGGTGTTGGGCAAACTGTTTGGATGCATGCACTTATCTCCTAGCTGCCTGAATGGAAGATGGCCCCTAGCCTCAAACGTGTTATCATGTGTTCATTTACTGAATGCTGGCCATTTGACAGCTCATCACTACTGATGCTATTAATAACATGGTTCCAGCACAACAGCCCAGGGAGTTGGTTAGATAAGAAAACACGACCCCACCACCATCATCACCACAAGGCAATCTGTCTGCAGCCTTAAAAACACATTTGTGCCAAAGAGTCAAGGTATTGAATTAAGAGCCCTTTCAGTAGTCGCTCTAAAATCATAACATACAATGACACGCAGGTAGAGAGATAATATGTAGGTACTGACTGACAGCTCACACTAAAATTAGTTCTCTAATTGTGATATAAGACGTTGACAGCTGAAAGATTGTGGACAGGAAAGAGACAGTTTTCAGGACGACCAAGCACAGATATTTTGTCAACCAGACATGACTCAGTCATGTTTGGATGATAGTCAATTATTTTGAGCTAGCTAATATATGCAAGATGTGACATGGGGCGCAGATGTCCAATAAAATGAATGAGCATTTTTAATTGATACAATTTAGATTCCTCAATAATGTTGTTTAAGTCAGTTATAGTAATTCATGGCTAATAAGCCAAGTTAAATGAACTCGGTTACAGGTACTGAATACACACTGTCAAGTGTTGTCAACTTCTTAGACAGGCAGAGAGACCGATAGATAGATAGATAGATAGATAGATAGATAGATAGATAGATAGAT